CCGGGGCCGCAAGTGGCGGCGACGGGGCCGCTAGCGGCGACGACGGGGCCGCTGGCGGCGGTTCTGGGCCGATAGGTATCGGCGACGGAGGGCGACGCGCGGGTCCCCGTCGCCCGTCGCTGCGCCTCCCGGAGGCGACGCGCCGAGTGACGGGGCAGAAACCCGTCGCGAGCCTCGGGGCGCACGGCAGGAAGAAAAACTGCCGCAGGCCATGGGGCGTGCGGCACAGAGAGTAGCAGTAGCAGTTGCAGCGGAAGCAACGAGGTGGTGAGCCCACCCACAGGATCGATCCAAGGGGATCGACCTGCTCTGATACCATGTGAAAGTTTAGAAGAAAAGAAGAGGGTTGCACTAGCAAGAATGAGGATACAAATAGGAAACCCTAGAAGGGTTGTACTCGCTATAGACTCCCCACTAAAGGCTAGAGCATAATATTCTGACAGCTTGTTGGCTGCCTCATGTACCTGATGACTTGCACTCGACCTGACCTTGCATACCCTCTTAGCATCTTGGCATGCTATGTTGCTCCTGGGAGACACCGACCAGAGCACATGGCTGCACCGAAGAGGGTGTTGACTTGTGCAGTACGTCGGGCATGGGGCTAGTGCTTGGAGGGCGGCGTTCTGTGGTCCTCACAGGTCACGCAGACGCTTCTTGGGCTGACGACCAGGCTACGCAGCGGTCTTCACAGGGTTACACCTTCAGCCTTGGTTCCGGCTCTGTTTCGTGGCGGTCTACCCGCTCGTCTTCTGTTCTCGGCTCCAGCTGTGAGGCTGAGATCTACGCGGGGGCCATGGCTGCACAGGAGCTACGCTGGCTCACTTACCTGCTGACCGACGTGAGAGAGCCGCCTCGTTCTGCTCCAATTCTGTACGTAGACAACAAGGCCATGCTGGCCTTGTGTCGGGAGCACAGACTGGAGCACAGAACAAAGCACATTGCTCTTCGTTACTTCCTTGCTCGTGAGCTACAGCAGCGCGGTCAGTTGGGCCTTGCTTACGTGGCCTCTGAGGCCAACACTGCAGATATGTTTACCAAGGCACTTCCGCCTTATGATCATCAGCGCTGCTGTACGATGCTAGGTCTTGTGCCTACTTGGCCTCACTTGCTCACTTCTTGACCTTGCTTGTATTGTGATCTATCTATACCTGCACTTGCTTGTTTACCTTTATATATGATCTTGCATGTGAACTGGCCTTGTGGCCTTGAACTTGTGCTCGGAATGTGTGGTGACGTTGTGATCCACCATGAGCCTGCTTTGGTTTGCTTGACTGGTCTTGTGACCTCTTGTTCTCCCCCACTTTGCCTATAGGGGTGTGTCAAACTTAGATGCTATAGTCTGTGTAGGCTGTAGTGGGGTAGCGAATATGGGGTACAACACCTTTAGGTTTTCCTACTTGTACCGACCTGTTTCCCAGTGCATTCACTTCCTCATTATTGTCACACCACTTGGCGGACCAGCGTTGGACCAGATACGGACTGGTCTGCCTGATGCGTCACGCTTCGGGCTGCAGAGTATTTGCGAGATGCAGCAGTAGCGACGGTTTGAAATTGGGTTACCTATTTTCTTCGTCTGCACAAAAATCTTGTGCGGAACTTACAAAGTAAGAAATTCTTCCAAAACAAATGTTTGCCCACCCACTGTTTACGGACCAGGCGCTGACTGGTCTGGAGGGCCAAATTAATGGCACCGTTTTAGTGCCATTTGAACGGTATAACGGGGTTACAAGCCCCACATCCTGGTCCAGGTCCTCCTTGGTTCACACGCTGGTTCTTGAGCTGATCCGTCAGGTCCGAGCCGGACCCACATGGACTCAGACATTTGAGACACCATCTGAAACCTTGCGGGAGATTCAAACATTACTTACGCCAATACACGCATTGAAGGAAATCACCCTATTATGCTCGATTCGGCAGGCATTAAAATAATGGCCTCGGGAGATGGGCTACAGTAAAACGACCACCCTAGAACCTTCTTTGATAAGCACGTGAAAGGTTATCTAGGCTCGATATCAGCGGATCATCGCCGAACCAGACAATAATGGAATGCCAGCCGAACACCCCTTTTAATGCTGACATTTTCCACCAGAGGAATCTTCCTCGAACCCTATGTGTCAGGTAAACTGTCCATTTTCTAATCCGCCGCACTATGCGGCTTCGAGGTCCCGCACCACACGGGGGATCAGTGATGCAGCCAATCAAAAGTGACAAGTCAAATATGCCAGCCAATCGCATGATCACGCGTTCCTTTAGGAAAACTACCTCCCAGCTTCTGCGAAGCTAAATCCTCGATCGATGCCATTAATCGAGGCCCATTTAATGCCAACCGAACACTCGAGCCCCTTTTTTCTGAAGTTGCATTGCAGCTACAGTCTGATATCTCAACTGTTTGGAGGGGGCATTTTTTGGGGGCCCGTTAAAAAAGCCCATAATGGCCATAATGACCATAATTTCTGCAGAACTGGGCCTAAGGACGCGTCACAATTGCAACATCCATCCCCTATGGGATCGATGTTTGGGGTGTACAGTACTTCGTAGAACTGTGTATCCTTATTTCGCAATGTTTCGCTAAGACTCGAGTCACGTCACCAAGGGAGATGTCTCTTCCAGATCGATCTGTCACCGTACTCAAATCAAGCGTAATCAATTACAACTTTCAGAAACGTTTCTAACCCCGCAAAATTAGGATCGTGAGGACGATCACGACACATGTGGCTCGGAGGAGATTGATGTTCACAGCTTCAGTGTGCGACCTTGATCTTCGCCGGTGTTGCAATTGTGACGCGCCCTTAGGTCCGGTTTACTGTAGCTAACCCAAGGCCATTCTTTTAATGCCTGCCGAACTGGGCCTTTGTTTGAGCATCTGTCCAGGGCTCAGGTGGAAAAAAACCGTTGCCGCAGGACAAGGCTAGAATTGCGCTGATCAGGTGAGTTTGGTTTGGGTTTGAACTGGGGTCAACTCTCTTCACTGGGAACCTGAAGCCAGACTGAAATCATACAAACCGCTACGCATCCACACTAAACACTCCCGACCTTAGCATGGTAGGGATTACAGCTGGTGTAGCGAGGCGACGTCTCCATGTTTCAATTTCAACGCCTGCTGTGCCGAGCAATTGCTACTGAACAAAATCAGAGCGTCGCGGCGGGCCATACATGTACCTCCCCTCCCTCACTCCCAAAGGTATTCGCGATTCGACGCGGTTTTTTTTTTTTTTTTTTTTTTTTTTGTGGGCACTTCCTCCTCATGAGTGTACCACAAGGGAGAAACCTCGCAGCTCAGCTCAGCTCTGGCAGGCTTGGTTCGTCTTGGTTCGGCTCAGCTCGGTAGGCACACCATCACATCACACCTCACACCTCCACGACGATGACATGCTACGCCATGCCTTCGAATTCAGTTACTGCTGTGGTGGACATGCGATGGAGACTGCCCTGCGGCCATGCGACGTATACCATGCGAGTTACTTTATCGCGTTCGCGTGTCCTCGCCTTCCCTCAACCATCTGTCCTCCCCAACCCATCCCTGCCAAACCCCCCTCCCTTTCCTCTCCTCGCTCCCATGTTTCCTCCCCATCCACTGAGAGAATTACTGTAGAGCCCTGTTTGATGATTCATTCTTACTCGCGTGGCCTTGAATTACTCGAGTGGCCACCGAATTTGGTGATTACTGGAGTGGCCACGCCAGGGCATTTTCGAGGAGTTGTTTTCTCCGGCACATTTCCCTACAAGGGTTTGTACTCCCGAAATGTCTTCGCTCGCACGAGTCTCATCCCGAGGTAGCGTTTTCGTACTATTCCCCACAGGAAAAAAACTAAAACCCGCTCCGAAGGCATTCCATCCGAGGGAGCCTCAACCCTAAAGTTCTAGAGTTGAGGCTCCCGAATGGCGTGCTGTAAGACGCGGGGTTTATTTTTTCACCTTTGGGTAATGCGTCGGTAAAAAAAAAGCCAGCGGGAATCCCCTGGCCTGGCCACTCGAGTAATTATCACCAAATCTGGTAGCCACTCGAGTAATTCAAGACCACGCGAGCAAGAACGAATCACTAAACAGGACACTGAAGAAGTTCTCTCCCATCCACTCCATAAGCAGCCTTCCGCCATTCATCATCACTCGAGCACCAACCAGCCACTTGTTGATTCTCACCTCACGCAAGCAACAAGTGCACCTCCCCCGTTCGTCGGCTTCATTTCTCAAGCTTGGTCCATCTCTCTTCCCACTCTCGTATTCACGCGCCTCCAAGCACGCAACGTCCAATAATTGCGTCATTCGACCCTCCTTGCTCAGATGCACCATACGATAATTGTGTCATTCACCCCTCCTTGCTCGAACCTCCAAACAGCCCTTGAAGAGGAGCCTAGAAAGCGCGCCATTCGACTGGATTGCTCAACCGACTTTTCAGACGTCTCGAAAGCGCGCCATTTGACTGAATTGCTCAGCCGTCCGTTTGCTGTATATTATTAGGGAGCATCGTCTAAACTCGAATGCTTGATTCAAAGGCTCGTCTTTGGTCGCCGCGCACCCGCAACCAGGCCCGCCATTGAAGCAGTTCCTTAGAAGGCTGAACGAGATAATAGTGCAACAGCTATTGGACTAACTCCATTGGATCTCGTTCATTAAAGGGCGGCTGGGTATCAATCGACGTGTACTACGGCCCCATATTGGGAACAGCGGCTGAATCTATTTCAGAGTGCCAAAGAATTAGACTCGAATATCCGCGCCGCAGTGGCAGAAAAGAAGCACCTTCTTGCCTCAAGCTTGGTCTGAAGCTTGCGAGCAACCCTTGTTTGTGAATATTCCTCGGACCAGTACCGCATTCGCTCCTTAAGTTTCCGCTCCTGAGCTTTTCGCTTCTCGCCTTTCGCCCCTGACCGTCAGAAGCGAATCATCTCGTATCCATCGATTACGTCGCTGGTTTCCTGGCTCAGCTGCCAGAAGCACATTCGATTGTAGAACGCGCGAAGTAGCAGCTTCCGCGCAGTAGCTTCTCCGGAACAATCGGCGCAATGAGGATCTCCGCTCGGTTCCCCGTGCGCCTCAACGTCTTCCGCCTGTCCGTCGCCCTCATCGCCGCCACCTGCCTCCTCGCTCTCCCAGGTCCGTCCTTCCACCTGCCTCCTCGCTCTCCCAGGTCCGTCCTTCCATCGATGTCGCCGCTGGCTTGCTAGATTCGTCGCCTTGCCAGGCTGATCGTTCTGTCGGAATCCCTTGCCTCGGATTGTCACGGAAGCGCGCTCATCGAGACCATCGGACTGCATAATCCAACGGCGGTCAGGAATCCGTATCTGAGTGCATCATGCGCGAATCAACGCCGGAGAAGACGCAGTTTCGGATGCGCCAATCGGACGGCCAGAGTGAGAGCTCCCAAACTCCGCAATTGCTGTCCTCTCCGTCCGGCGTCCTTGCGCAGACGCACAGAACGCGCGGAGACGGCCGAACGCGCGGAGACGGCCGAACGCGCGGAGAGGATAAGCTCTTGTCCCCCTCCTCCCCACACCTTCTCCGCTTTCCCGGATTTCCTGGTTTCCCTTTCCCTCTCCCCCACCTCTATCCTGCACCGCGCGCGCAGCCCTTTGAGCAACCGCTGGTCATCCCGTTTCTTCCCCTCCCCGCTCTTCCCCTCCCCGCTCTTCCCCTCCCCGCTCTTCCCCTCCCCGCTCTTCCCCTCCCCGCTCTTCCCCTCCCCATTCTTCTCCTCCCCTCCCCACTCTCCCACTCTCCCTTCTCCCCCACCCAAAACTTCAACCCGCGCGCAGACGTTTCGTGTGAGCTTCAATCCCATTTCTTCCGCCCCCTTTTCCCCCTTTCGTTCCTCTCCATCCCTCCCCCTCCCCCACTTCCACTCCCCCATCTCCCTTCCCCCCAAACCCCCCCACCCCCCCTTGCGCAACTGCAGCGCGCGCGCAGTCGTTCCGCGTGAGCTCGAATCCCGCGCTGGCGGAGCTGAAGCTGGAGCACCTCAACCGCTTCTTCCGCAGCCTCACCGTGGCTTATAACGAGTCGGAGGAGTGGTGGGAGCCCGAGCTTTCCGTCGACTGGCGATGGGACGACCGACTCAAGCCCGTGCTGGGGCTGCGCACGGAAGGGGCCTGCAGTAAGTACTGCTGCTCTTAACGGGTATGCCACAAGCGATTTTTTTTATATCGAGTCGGAGGATTGGTGGGAGCCTGATCTCTCCATCGACTGGCGGTGGGACGACCGACTCAAACCCGTGCTGGGGCTGCGCACTGAGGGGGCCTGCAGTAAGTACCGTGCTGCGGCTGTTGCTCTTACTGAGTCTGCTACAAGCGAAACAACTTATAACGAGTCGGAGTAGTGGTGGGAGCCTGGGCTTTCTGTGGATTGGCGATGGGACGACCGCCTGAAACCCGTGCTGGGGCCGCGCACGGAGGGGGCTTGCAGCAAGTACTGTGCTGGGGCTGTTGCTCTTAACGAGTCTGCTACAAGTTGCTTGTAGCGAGTCGGAGTGGTGGGAGCTCGACATCTCCGTGGATTGGCGATGGGACGACCGCCTGAAATCCGTGCTGGGGTTGCGCACGGAAGGAGCTTGCAGTAGGCACTGCTGCTCTTAACGAGTCTACTACAACCAGACGGCAGCAGCTATGGCGACAGTGACGATGGCATACGCGATACTAGCTCCTGCGTTTCCCTCTGCTTTCGTCACCTCCACTGGCCCCCACCTTTCCGCGCGCTGTCACCCTCCCCTCTCCGCCTACTCCCTTCTCCCGCACTTCCTCAGAGTGCTCGTGGGCAATAACGGTCGTGGCGATGGCGAGTTGACTTTTGAGTCGACTCAAAAGTCCACCCCTCCCCTCTCCTCTTACTCCCTTCCCCCGCACTTCCTCAGAGTGCTCGTGGGCAATAACGGTCGTGGTAATGGCCCCTCCTCATAAGGCGAGTGCATGCGATAGTTGCGGCAGCTCCTGCACTTCCCTCTCCTGTTTCGTCCTCTCACCGTTTCCCTTCCCTCTTCCCCCATCCCCGTCCCCCTTCCCCCCTTACAGAGGCCTCGTGGGCAATAACGGCCGTGACAGCCGTGGAAATGGCATACGCGATAGTAGCTCCCGCGTATCCCAATCTGCCGCCCGCAGCGCGCGTGTCGGTGCAGCAGGTGGTGGACTGCGAGCCCAGCAACAGCAGCTGCAGCGGCGGCGGGTGGCCCACGTCAGCGCTGGACTACATGGTGGACGCGACTCAGGCGAATGGGGGCCTGGCGACTGAGGCTGCTTACCCGTACACGCAGAAGCAGGGCGTTTGCAACGCCACTAGGGTGAGAACGAAGTGTTTGTGGCTGTGATCGTGTTTGTGGCTGTGGCTGTGCTTGAGGCTGGCGGTGGCTGTGCGATGTGCACGTTGGTTGTGGCTATGGCCTCGGCTGTGGCTATGGCCTCGGCTGTGGCTGCGACGGTTGCTGTGCAGTAGTGTGCGTCGTGATTGGATGCGCGGGGGGAGCAGGGAGCGTGCAACGCAGCTGGGGTGAGAGAGCGCGCCCAAGGCCATCGGGGTTACCCTGGACGACCCTCACACCCCTGGATTTGGAGTGTTGTTGACGTCACACACCCCTTCCTTCCCTCCTTCCCCTCCTTCCCACCTCTCCCATTCACCTGCATGTGTGCGTGGCAGGCAAAGAAGCTGCTGTGGAGGAGCGCGCGCCCAAGGCCATCGGGGATACCGGGTACGACCACGTGTCGACCCCACACACCACTTCTTCCCCCTTTCCTTCTCTTTCCCACTGTCCGTTCCTCTATCTCTCTCCAGGCAAAGAAGCTACTTTTGAGGCGCCTCGAAAGCCTTCTCTCCCCCCCTGCCCGTTCCTCTCTCTCTCTCCAGGCAAAGAAGCTGCTGCGGAGGAGCGCGCCCAAGGCCATTGGGGATACCGGGTACGACCACGTGTTGTTGACCTCACACACCCCTGTTTTCCCTCCTTCCCCTCCCTCGCGCCTCTCCCATTTCCCCTGACCTCACGCACAGGCAAAGAAGCTGCTGAGAGAGAGCGCGCCCCAGGCCGTCGGGGTGATTGGGTACGACCCGGTGGACTTCTTTGGCTGGCTGGGGCTCACGCTTGCTGTGCAGGTGACGGCGGGTTGGGAAGGGCGTTAGGGGTGAGCGGCGCGAAAGGTTGGGGAGAGAGGGGAAGGGAAACGAGTGATCGGGTATGACGTGGTGGACTCGTTTGGCTGGCTGGGGCTCACACTTGCCGTGCATGTGAGGGAGGGCGATGGCTGGGCTGTGGGACAGAGGGTGAGTGAGAGGACCAATGTGCGACAGAGGGTGAGAGGAGCAGTGTGTGACGGAGGGTGAGTGAGAGGATCACGTGCGACAGAGGGTGAGAGGATGAGAGGGAGGATGGATAGAAAGTTGTGGTCACCTTTGGAAATAAGCAACCATGTAACCTTTGCTTATGGTTGTGGTCTCTGCTCCATATTCCTGCCCCTACTCCTTGTTATTTAGTTACAACGCACCTTAACATTCTTCTTAATCCCCTGCCCGAATTTTACCCAATTTCTCTACCTCTCTTCCCAATGCAGACCCAACCCACCATTGCCTTGAAGTTTTGAGGCGTCTCAAAATTGAATTATACCCATTCTCTCCCTCTCTTCCCGATGCAGACCCAACCTACCATTGCCTTCGTGAGAGGCAGCCATCCCACCTTCCTATCCTACCGCAGGGTGAGTCAACGCCAGTCAATGCTAGTCAGCAGCACCATTTAATGCCAGTCAATGTCAGTCAAAGCTAGTCAACGCAGATCAACAATAATCAAGGCCAGTCAGCATCAGTCAATGCAACTCAATGCCAGTCATTGCTAGTCAGCACAAGTCAATGCTAGTTAATACAGGTCAGAGTATTTCTGAGCATCTAATGCAGTGCGTGGGAGTCAGGACACATCAGTAACGGGCAGGTGGGTTGCGCAGGCCTTACTTCCATCAAATGGTGCTAGTCAATACGCAAGTGCTGGATTAAGTTGACGTTTTGTTTAAACTGGCTCTCTAAGACAACGCCCTAAGCTCACGGTTAACCGGGAAATCCATCCATCCCATGGGGCTTGTCTCGTCGTTTTAAATAGCCATACAAGTTGATGGAAGTAAGACCTCCGCAGCCCACCTGTCTGCGTTCGACAACTCTAGCAGGTGGGTTGCGCAGGCCTGACTTCCATCAAATGCAGTGCGTGGGAGTCAGCTCGAGGCAATGCAGTGTGGGAGTCAACCATATAACCCAACGTACGAAACTTGCTGTCTTGCCTCTCTCTCAGGCCTCCCTCTCCTGCCCCACCCTTCCCTCAGGGCACGTACAACGACCGAGCGTGTGCGGAAGAGGTGGTGGATCACAGCGTGGTGGTGATGGTGGGGTATGAGCGCACTGCTCTGTGCTTACCCTTTCCCTTCTCCCTTCCCCACTTTCCTCCACCCTTCCCTCAGGGCACGTACAACGACCGAGCGTGTGCGGCAGGGGTGGTGGATCACAGCGAGGTGGTGGTGGGGTATGAGCTGGACGACTGTTATCTCACTTCCATCGCCTCTCCCCACTCTTCCACTCTCCTGCCTCCCTCTCTCTCCTGCCTCCCTCTCTCTCCTGCCTCCCTCTCTCTCCTGCCTCCCTCTCTCTCCTGACCCACCTGCCATCAGGGCACGTACAACGACCGAGCGTGTGCGGCGGGGGGGGTGGTGGATCACAGCGTGGTGGTGGTGGGGTATGAACTGGACGACTACTACACTCTGCCCTACTGGATCATCCGCAATTCCTGGGGCGACAAGTGGGGCGAGAAGGTTAGTGGGGCGATGGGATGGGATGGGATGGGATGGGATGGGATGGGATGGGACGGGTGTGATGGCCTGAAGTGGATCATGGGCTTGATTGACAGGGTGGAGGCGAGGAAAAGGGGGAGGGGAAGTGGGGGGAAGGGTGGTGGTGGTGGAGAACGGGTTGGGCATGGCTACATGCGCATGGCCATGGTGGGAGGGAGATGCTTGCTTCGTGTTGTGCTCTGTGATCCACCACCCATCCACCACCCATCCACCACCCATCCACCCCCCATCCACCACCCATCCACCACCCATCCACCACCCATGCACCACCCATGCACCACCCATGCACCACCCATGCACCACCCATCCATCACCCATCCACCACCCATCCACCACCCATCCACCACCCATCCACCACCCATCCACCACCCATCCACCACCCATCCACCACCCATCCACCACCCATCCACCACCCATCCACCACCCATCCACCACCCATCCACCACCCATCCACCACCCATCCACCACCCATCCACCACCCATCCACCACCCATCCACCACCCATCCACCACCCATCCACCACCCATCCACCACCCATCCACCACCCATCCACCACCCATCCACCACCCATCCACCACCCATCCACCACCCATCCACCACCCATCCACCACCCATCCACCACCCATCCACCACCCATCCACCACCCATCCACCACCCATCCACCACCCATCCACCACCCCTCCACCACCCATCCACCACCCATCCACCACCCATCCACCACCCATCCACCACCCATCCACCACCCATCCACCACCCATTCACCACCCATCCACCACCCATCCACCACCCATCCCCTCCCCACCCCTCTCCCCACCCTCCTCCCCTCTCCGCGCTCCCTCTCGTGCAGGGCTGGCTACATGTGCAGCGCATGGCCATGGTGGGGGCATCTGGAATTGACTGTACCGCCTCACACACACGCACACTATCCATACCTTTCCGCACCGCCCCTCTTCCCTTCCCCTTCCCTTCCCCTTCCCTTCCCCTTCCCACTCCCCGTCCCCCGCCTCTCCCTTCCCGCAGGGCTACATGCGCATGGCGATGGTGGGAGGAATCGGCATATGTGGCATTCACTCAGTGCCGGCCATCTATCCCGTCATTAAGAGTGAGTTAGTTGGCCTACGTCTGTGTGCGCGCACACACAAACCCATGCACACACACATGGAAGCACATGCGTGCACGCGCGCACACACACACATACATGTGCACATGATCACATGTGCACACGCACACACATACAGACACACGTCTCATTTCCTTCTCTCTCCTCCACTCCTCCGCTTCTGCTCCCTGTCCCCCATCCCTCCCTCCCTCCCTCCTTCCCTCTCTCCCTCCCTCCCTCTCTCCCTCTCTCCCTCCCTCCCTCCCTCCCTCTCTCTCTCCCTCCCTCCCTCCCTCCCTCCCTCCCTCCCTCCCTCCCTCCCTCCCTCCCACCCTCCCTCCCTCCCTCCCTCCCTCCCTCCCTCCCTCCCTCCCTCCCTCCCTCCCTCCCTCCCTCCCTCCCTCCCTCCCTCCCTCCCTCTCGCGCACCTTTCTCGCCCACGCACCAACGGCAGCCCCATCGCCCTGCAACGATGGCATCAACCCATGCGGCTGGGGAGACTGTGCTGCCAACACTGACGGCTCCTCCCCGCCCTATGTGTGCTCCTGTGCGGACGGCTTTGTACCAGTCACCAACAACGACGGCACCCCCACGTGCGCTCTAGGTGAGTGTTGTTGCTGTGCTGCTGCTGCAGCATTTGGTCTGGCTGGCTGCTCTTTGCTCCCGCAGACTGCTGCTCTCCGCTGCTGCACCCCTCTGCTCCACCCTACATGTGCTCCTTTGCGGATGGCTTTTGTGCCGGTCACCAATAGCGACGGTACTCCCAACTGTGCTCTAGGTGAGTGTGCTGCTGCTGTTGATGTGGCTGCTCTTTGCCTCTACTGTGTGCTGCTGCTGTTGATGTGGCTGCTCTTTGTCTCTACTGTGTGCTGCTTTCTGCTGCCACACCCCTCGGCTCCACTCCACCCTACGTGTGCTCCTGTGCGGACGGCTTTGTGCCCGTCACCAATAGCAACGGCACTCCCACCTGTGCTCTAGATGGGTGGTTTCGCTGCTGTCTGTCGCCTTGTGCTGCTCTGTACCTTCGATCTTTCACGTGTGCTTCTGACGTGTGCTCCTGTGCTGACGTGTGCTCCTGTGCTGACGTGTGCTCCTGTGCTGACGTGTGCTCCTGTGCTGACGTGTGGTCCTAACCATTTACTCCCGTCCCCTTTGTCGGCTCCTTTCCCTTATTTCTCTCCAGACGTGTGCTCGTGGTTTGAGGGCCACAACCCCTGTGGAGTGGGCTTGTGTCTGAGCGATTGTTGTTCCGTATGCCCACTCAATCTCCTCCCTCCCTTCTCCCTGTTCCTCTTCTCTTCCCTCCTGACCCCTCTCCCTCACACCAGACGACGTGTGCTCGTGGTTTGAGGGCGGCAACCCCTGTGGAGTGGGCTCGTGTCTGAGCGACAGCGAGGGCGGCTACCTTTGTCTCTGCCCGCCGGGCTTCAAGCGCGGGCTTCGGGCGGGCGGCACTGAGCTCTGTGTGCCCAGTGAGTCGCTGCAGGCTTTAGGGCTTACCTGCTCCCCAGAGTAGAAACGATGTTCTCTGCAGTGAGCTCTGTGTGCCCAGTGAGTACGTGCCTGCAACCCGTGGAGCGTAAGCGTTCTCGCATGTGTTACCTTACCTTCGTCTCTGTCCGCCCGGCTTCAAGCGATGCCTACATGCGGGCGGGCGGCACTGAGCTGTGTGCCCAGTGAGTCGCTGCAGGGTGTTATAATGGGGTGCAAGTGTTGCAAGAATGGGGTTCTAATTAAGGGCCCTTGCTGCTCTGCTCCCGCTCTCTCCTCCCTGTGTCACCCCTCTCGTCCTCCCTTCCTCCCTCCCCTCGTCCATCCCTCAAGCTCCTGACCGCCCACCCATCATCTCCTACCCCATGGGCGTGCACTGCGAGCTCGTGTATCAGATTCCCTTACCCTCTCCCTCCCACCCCCCCCCCACTCCCACGTTCTCCTCTCCCTCCCCTTCCGCCAGCCGCCGAGCTCCCCGCCCACCCATCGTCTCCCACTCCATGGACGTGCACGCGCACTGCAAGCTCGTGTATCAGGCTCACTCACGGTCTCCTCACCCATTCCCCCCATCTCCCCTCTCTCTCTTCCCCACACCAAGCCCAGCCGCCAAACCGCCCAACCAACATCTCCTGTTCAATGGACGTGCACTGCGAGCTGGTGTATCAAATCTCCTTACTTATTCCCACTCACACTTGCTCCCACATCCTACCCTTCCTCCCTCCTTTCCCTCTTCTCTCCCTGCAACCGCTGAGCGCCCCAGCAACATCTCATACCCCATGGACGTCCACTGCGAGCGCGTGTACCAGATCCACTTACCCTCTCCCTCCCAACCGCCCCTCACTCCCACGTTCTCCTCTCCCTCTCCTGTTCTTCAGCCGCGGAGCGCCCCAGCAACATCTCATACCCCATGGACGTGGACTGCGAGCTGGTGTATCAGATCTACGGGCTGGACGAGGAGCAGTTCCTCGCTCAGAACCCCGACCTGGTGAGCGCTGCTGGGCTGGACTCGGTGCTGGTGGGTTGGACTCGGTGCTGCTGGGTTGGACTCGGTGCTGTTTTAGTGATGAATGATCACTGCTGCCTGTTGCATAGACGCCTGTCCATCCATCCATCCATCCATCCATCCATCCATCCATCCATCCATCCATCCATCCATCCATCCATCCATCCATCCATCCATCCATCCATCCATCCATCCATCCATCCATCCATCCATCCATCCATCCATCCATCCATCCATCCATCCATCCATCCATCCATCCATCCATCCATCCATCCATCCATCCATCCATCCATCCATCCATCCATCCATCCATCATCCATCCATCCCATCCATCCATCCATCCATCCATCCAGAACGAGGAGGGGTGGTGTGACACGGTTTGGGTAACACAGTGGTCAACTTCATGCGCCCTCATCTTTCCATGCGCTCATGTCTTTCCTTCCCACTGCTCGCCCTTCTCGCTCTGCCCTCGTTTTCTCTGCTCTCCATCCATCCATGTGTGCACTTCTTTCCAGGAGAACGGCGAGGGTTGGTGCGAAACGGTTTGGGCCAACGCAGTGTTCAACATCACTCTCTGCCCCTCTCTGCTGCCCATGCATGCACTCATCTCTCTCCTTCCCGTTGCTCTCCCTTCTCTCTCTTCCCCGCCTTTGCTCGCCATCCATCAATGTGTCATGTTCGCGTCCATCCATGTGTGCCCTTATATCTATCCAGGAGAACGATGAGGGCTGGTGTGACATGATTTGGGCCAACACAGTCGTCAATGTCACTCTGCCGCCCTCTGCAATCATCTGTGGCCTCTTCTATTCCTGGTCCTCTGTAAGTCTCTTCCTCCCCTTGCTCGTTTCAATTCAAACCCGATCCTCTGTAGCGCTCTGCTCCCCCTTGCCTGCTGTCATCTGCGGCCTCTTCTACCCCCGGTGGTCCTTCTTAAAAATAAGTCGCCATTTTTTAGGCGCCTGAAAAGTCGACCCCCGGTGGTCCTTCTTGAGTCCAATAATAATCAAGTCTCCTCCCCGGGTCCTCGAAAACAGAAACTGCCCAGTGAGTTGACTTTTGAGTCGACTCAATATTGAGGCTCTCCCCCTTATCTCCCGCTCTCCACGCGTCGGTTTTGAGATAAGGGGGAGAGCGGGAGATAAGGGGGAGAGCGGGAGATAAGGGGGAGAGCGGGAGATAAGGGGGAGAGCGGGAGATAAGGGGGAGAGCGGGAGATAAGGGGGAGAGCCTCACTATTGAGGTTCTCCCGCTCTCAAAAGCACTCTTCTTCGTTGCACCCTCCCATGTTGGAGTTGCATTTGGAGTCGCTCCCTCCCTCTCCTCCTCTCCCTACTCCCATACTCGTCCTTTCCCCTCTCCTTGCTCTCCTGTTGTCATCCATTCGCCACTGCTTGCTCTCCTGTTTTCATCCCTTCCCCTCTGCTTGCTCTGCTGTTTTCATCCCTTCCCCTCTGCTTGCTCTACTGTTTTCATCCCTTCCCCTCTGCTTGCTCTACTGTTTTCATCCCTTCCCCTCTGCTTGCTCTACTGTTTTCATCCCTTCCCCTCTGCTTGCTCTACTGTTTTCATCCCTTCCCCTCTGCTTGCTCTACTGTTTTCATCCCTTCCCCTCTGCTTGCTCTACTGTTTTCATCCCTTCCCCTCTGCTTGCTCTACTGTTTTCATCCCTTCCCCTCTGCTTGCTCTACTGTCCCCTCCCTCCCTCCCTCCCTTCTCACTCCCCCCCCAAACTTCTTCCTCTCTCTGCCAAACCCCACAACAAACGCCTCTGCCAGTCCTTTTCCCTTCTCCTTCCCCTTACCTCCCCTCCCCCCTCTCCTCCTCTCCCATCACCCCTCCAATCACAGAACGACACGTGTGCAGCGGTGGCAGACGGCTTCGACCTCACAGTTGCAGACCTGGAAGCTCTCAACCCGGGCGTGAACTGTACCGGGAAGATAAAGAAGCTTCCCGCAGTGAACCAGCAGGTGAATTGTCTCTCTGAGTGTGCGGCTGGTTGGTACGCCTGATGTGCCTTCAAGCTCTCCTTCTTTCCTCTCAACCCCGCCCAGTGTGTGTGCCGGGGAACAAGTGTGTTGTCCCCTGCTCTGAGCTGCACCTCAGTGTGTGTGTCTCCCACTCCGCTCCTTGCATGAGCGTGGCACCACAGCCTAACCTCCACCTTTGTTATCCCTCCCACCCCTCTCCATGGGGCAACGGGGCCGACTTCCCCATGTGCACGCAGTTCTGTCTACACAGCGCTTCCAATGCCGTCCCCTGGTTTAACTGCTCCCGTGGGTTCCTCCCACCCCACTCCCTCACCTCACCAGGTGTGCGTGCAGGAGGGCAACGGGGCCGACTTCCCCATGTGCATGCAGTTCTACACCATCCTCCCCAGCGACAACTGCGACACCATCATGACTCACAGCAGGGGTTGGTGCCAACCCTAAACATGCCCCTCTCCCTCCTCTCTCCAACATCCCTCCCTGTCCCCTCCGTGTCCCCCCCTTGTACTAACGCTTCCATGCTACCAGGTGTGCGTGCAGGAGGGCAACGGGGCAGACTTCCCCATGTGCACACAGTTCTACACCGTCCTCCCCAGCGACAACTGCAACACCATCATGAAGCGCTTCAAGCTCTCCCACCTCTCCTTCTACGCGCTCAACCCCGGCCTCAGCTGCGCAGCGCTCTTCCCCTACCTCAGCGGTCCCGACGAGGACGAGGACGAGGGCGACCAGGATGGGGGGTCTACGCTCAGCGGCACTCAGGTGAGGATGAGGATAATCGAAAGGACTTTTCCGACCAGGTAGTCTGTTTCTAAGGCAACACAAGACAGGGCAGGGCCAGTACCTGCCTGCTCCTTGGGTGTTCAAGCTCTCTGCACTCTCCTTGCACGCACCCAACTTGCCCTTCCTTCTTCCTCTTCTCCCCTTCTCACGTTGCCTTTTCTGCCATCTTGTACAGAACTCCTCCTCACCGCCACCACCTCCTGTTCCTCATAGTGACTTTTGAGTCCACTCAAAAGTCTTCTTCCCTTCTCACGTTGCCTTTTCCACCATCTTGTACAGAACTCCTCCACACCACCACCCGCTCCTCCCGCTGCTTCCCTCTCTGCAGGTGTGCATCTCAGGCTTTACAGTCAACGCCACCGGGCCCGCTCCTGCCCGCTCCCTACGCACCCTCCACCCGCAAGGCACTCTGCAACGCACACCCAAGAAGCTTACCGGGTTCCGAAGGCTTGAGAGGCCCGAGAGGCCTGAGAAGCTCGAGAGGCTGGAGAACGCATGGGTGGCAGGAGAAACCCGGTTGTGGGAGGGACATCACCACCAGCAGCAGCAGTTGCAGCAGCTGCAGCTGCAGCAGCGGCAGCGGCAGCAGCAGTCGTGGCAGCAGTGGATGCACGAGCTCTTTACTGAGATGGCGGCGTTGGGGCCTCACAGGAGCAGGCAGAAAGGGCTGTACAAGCCTGGCTTTAAAGGGGCTTCAGTGGCACTCCAAAAGAGGCTGCTAGCAACCACTAAAGGCAGGCGCGCCCGGCCCAGATGCCTTGCGTATTACTCTGTGCAGCGCGGGGATTTTTGTGCGCGCATCATATCGCTCAAGTTCCAGAACAGTGCAAGAAAGATGGCGGAGTTGAACAATGGATATGTGTGCACCAATGATAGGTTGTACGTGGGAATGTCGCTTTGCACGCGGAAGTGAGGCAGGGTCGAGTTTGGCGGACACATCGGTTTTGTTTTGCAGTGAATAATTGTGCAGTGAAGCTTCTCTGTATCTAGTTTCTGTGTCAGGTTGATAGCAATTAGGGCGGGTTCAGCGCGTACGTTTACAGTTCATCCCGTGCGGCTGCTCTTGTTGCGTCACTGTTAAAAACGGTGGAAACCGCAAATCGCTTTGAACCATGTGATATCGTTTTGTGCCATGGGTCATGATCTGTAAACGAACCGTAACCGTATGCCCTTAGTAGTACAGTACTCTACAAAACGTAAGGCAGATTGTTCACAAAATTCACTTGAAAGTGAGGACAGATTGTCTACAGTTCTGAAAGTGAGGACATGCTTGGTGGTACACCCTCATTCTCGTTAGACTGGCATATGTTATACTGAACGGGACGCTTAGTGTAGCCGCAGCGGACCAAAGAAGGTCCTATCACATGCGTTATACTGACAGTTTGACCCAGGGCGTTTAGTCAAGGTTCTATACGTTCTAGAATGTTACTGCTGTTTTCTAAACGGTTAAGACAGTTATTCAGCGTTAACGGAATTTTACGGCCCAAGTCTGGTTTCGTCGCCTCGTGAGACTTGGCCCGCAACCGAGTTATCTCACCAGCCCGCTACGTCCAAACACTGTAGCCACTGTTTCCGTCGGTGAGAAGACTGAGAATGAGGGTGTATGATTTCAGACAGGGCTGTCGCTTGCTCTGGACCCAGAACTCAGCGGGCTAAGGTCCCCTAGATTCAGCCCTTATTTATCCGGATCGAGTCATATTTTTAACACTTAGATCCAGGGCTACACAACCTTCTGCACTTGAGCGTAAACACACCATGGATGTTGATGATGCTCAAATACGTCTAAGGGCTGCGGTACATAGCAGATCTATTAGCCGATCTACTACTATTCAGCGAAGAGGGGAGAAGGTAGGTTCTACGTAAGCAGGGGAGACATATTACTATGGGAAACGAGGGGGTGGGGTGGTAGGTAGGGGCTCTGAGGCTATACGTGAAATCCTGGTTAGGCGCTAAGCCAGCCCGTAAGGAAACGGGCAGGCCTTAAAGTCAGCCATTGAATTCTCTGAGCTGGGCCCGAACCAGCCCTTGAATTCAAGGGTAACAAGGCTCGACGATGAACGTCGTAAGGGTTGCGTAGTACCGTAATATCCCTGATATAAGCGCAGGTGCGCTTATAAAAAATTAGTGTTTTTTTAGGGGGGTGCTCTTATATGTGAGTAAAAATGTAAGCGCATGCGCTTATACGGTATATTCTTATTGCACCAAATTGTACGTCTCCTTGCAATTTATATTCTTGCACATCAATCGCGACAGGCAATTAATCGTCTACATTTACCACTTTCTGCATACCGTACTCAAGATAATTGCAACGCAGTTGTGCATATATTATTTTTCATCCAGTTTATGTTACATATGTATTGCATTTTTGTCTTTATCTAGAACACAAGATAATGAGGAATAGTGAGCATGTTTAATTATTAGATAAGTGGTTTACTGCTATACACTATTATGGAGAACGTGCGGTCAGTTATTCACTTTCTGGAGCTGGCGCAAACTGCACATGAAATGGAGCTGAGTCGGCTGAATTTCACGTGCGCACACATGCTGGCGCTAATGCGCTGGTGCTGGCGCTGGTGCCTGGTATTCTTCCTCATGTTTCTCTGCACCGCATGATGTTTCTTTGCACATGTTTTTTCCCGAAGCGCATCTATCTCGCTCTTTCCATGCCCACTCTCGATTATCGTGAGGAGGTAGTAGAACACCATTCAAGCAACTGCTTCCGAGTTTCTTGTTTCAGTCATGTTTCTGAGCTCGCTTCTCGATTCTTGATCTTACTAATCAGAACTTTCTTGATTCTAGCAATTGTTCAACGTTGGCAGAGCAGTAGAATCCTCTCCCACAGCCGCGGTTGCTCCGGTAGGTGCTACTAGTAGTAGCGTTGGTAAGGCGCTTGGCGCTTGTTCGCTGGCGCCGTGGCGCCTTGTTCGCAGGCGCCGTGGCGCCTTGTTAGCAGGCGCCGTACGACGCCTTGTTCGCTGGCGCCGTGGCGCCTTGTTCGCAGGCTCCGTACGGCGCCTTGTTCGCTGGCGCCGTGGCGCCTTGTTCGCAGGCGCCGTGGCGTCTTGTTAGCAGGCGCCGTACGGCGCCTTGTTCGCAGGCGCCGTGGCGCCTTGTTCGCAGGCGCCGTGGCGCCTTGTTTGCAGGCGCCGTGGCGCCTTCAAGGCGCCGGCGCGCCTTGTTCGCTGGCGCCGGGGCGCCTATTTCGCTGGCGCCTTGGCGCCTATCTCGCTGGCGCCTTAGCGCATTTTTCGCTGGCGGCTTGGCGCCTTGATCGCTGTAGGCGCTGGCGCCAAAGCGCGAAGGCTGCATCGTCCTTGCTTCGTTTTTGCTCACGTTTGTCACTTTCGCTGTTTCCCTCCCTTCTCATGTCCCATACAGTCCTCTACCACGTACACCTTTCTGTATCGTTGCATACCAATTGTTGATTTCATGCCTTTTTTGTTTGATGGAGTCCATCCCCTCCTCAAAGCCTCTATTTTAAGCTTCGTTGCAAGGATGATTGCGTGAGTGAGTGCATGGGTGAGTGAGTGCGTACGTGAATGCAAGAGTAAGTGCTTGGATGAGTGCGCGGGCGAGTGCGTGAGTGAGTGCGAGGATGAGTGCGTGAGTGAGTGCGAGGATGAGTGCGCGAGTGATTGCCTTTCAGAGTGCGAGTGTAAGTGCGTGGCTAAGTGCTAAGGTGAGTGAGCGATTGAGTGCAAGAGTGAGTGCGTGGCTATGTGCGAGAGTGAGTGCATGGCTGTGTGCGTGTCTGAGTGCTTGGAAGGATGCGTGGAAGAGCGCGAGCATGTGTGTATGGTCGAGTGCGATAGTGAGGTGCGAGGCGGATTATGTGGCCGAGTGAGTGAGTGCGTCGCTGACTGAAATGGTAAGTGAGAGGATGAGTTTGTGAGTGAGTGAGAGGGTGGGTGTGATGGAGACTGCGTGAGCAAGTGCGTGGGTGTCAGGGTGTGTGCATGGTTTAGTGCGTGAGCGAGTGCATAGGTGAGTAAGAAGGTGAGCGTTTGAGTGAGTGCGAGGGTGAGTGCTTGGATGAGTGCGAGCATGAGTGTGAGCATGAGTGCGTGGATGAGCGTCGAAGAATGTGTGTTTGAGTGTGATAATGACTGAGTGGCCAAGTGCGTGAGAAAGTGCGTGCCTGATTGTGTGAGTGAGTGCGTGGCTTCGTGCGACAGAGAGAGTGTGGTAGTGTGAGGGTGATTGATTGGTTGAGTGTGAGGGAGAGTGCATGGATGAGTGCGAAGGTGAGGGCGTGAGTGAGTATGGAAGTGAGTGCATAATAGAGTGTTGGCTCAAGCATGGGGCTGGCTCAAGCATGGGGCTGGCTCAAGCATGGGGCTGGCTCTAGCATGGGGCTGGCTCAAGCATGGGGCTGGCACAAGCATGGGGCTGGCTCAAGCATGGGGCTGGCTCAAGCATGGGGTCGACTCAAGCATTGGGGCTGGCTCAAGCATGGGGCTGGCTCAAGCATCAAGCATGGGGCTGGCTCAAGCATGGGGCTGGCTTAAGCATGGGGCTGGCTCAAGCATGGGGCTGGCTCAAGCATGGGGCTGGCTCAAGCATGGGGCTGGCTCAAGCATGGGGCTGGCTCAAGCATCAAGCATGGGGCTGGCTCAAGCATGGGGCTGGCTCAAGCATGGGGCTGGCTCTAGCATGGGGCTGGCTCAAGCATGGGGCTGGCACAAGCATGGGGCTGGCTCAAGCATGGGGCTGGCTCAAGCATGGGGTCGACTCAAGCATTGGGGCTGGCTCAAGCATGGGGCTGGCTCAAGCATCAAGCATGGGGCTGGCTCAAGCATGGGGCTGGCTCAAGCATGGGGCTGGCTCAAGCATGGGGCTGGCTCAAGCATGGGGCTGGCTCAAGCATGGGGCTGGCTCAAGCATGGGGCTGGCTCAAGCATGGGGCTGGCTCTAGCATGGGGCTGGCTCAAGCATGGGGCTGGCTCAAGCATCATGCATGGGGCTGGCTCTAGCATGGGGCTGGCTCAAGCATGGGGCTGGCTCTAGCATGGGGCTGGCTCAAGCATCAAGCATAGGGCTGGCTCAAGCATCAAGCATGGGGCTGGCTCAAGCATGGGGCTGGCTCAAGCATCAAGCATGGGGCTGGCTCAAGCATGGGGTTGGCTCAAGCATGGGGCTGGCTCTAGCATGGGGCTGGCTCAAGCATGGGGCTGGGTCAAGCATGGGGCTGGCTCAAGCATGGGGCTGGCTCTAGCATGGGGCTGGCTCAAACATGGGGCTGGCTCAAGCATCAAGCATGGGGCTGGCTCTAGCATGGGGCTGGCTCTAGCATGGGGCTGGCTCAAGCATGGGGCTGGCTCAAGCATGGGGCTGGCTCAAGCATGGGGCTGGCTCAAGCATGGGGCTGGGTCAAGCATGGGGCTGGCTCAAGCATGGGGCTGGCTCTAGCATGGGGCTGGCTCAAACATGGGGCTGGCTCAAGCATCAAGCATGAGGCTGGCTCTAGCATGGGGCTGGCTCTAGCATGGGGCTGGCTCAAGCATGGGGCTGGCTCAAGCATGGGGCTGGCTCAAGCATGGGGCTGGCTCAAGCATGGGCCTGGCTCTAGCATGGGGCTGGCTCAAGCATCAAGCATGGGGCTGGCTCTAGCATGGGGCTGGCTCAAGCATGGGGCCCGCTCAAGCGTGGGGCTGGCTCAAGCATGGGGCTGACTCTAGCATGGGGCTGGCTCTAGCATGGGGCTGGCTCAAGCATGGGCCTGGCTCTAGCATGGGGCTGGCTCAAGCATCAAGCATGGGGCTGGCTCTAGCATGGGGCTGGCTCTAGCATGGGGCTGGCTCAAGCATGGGCCTGGCTCTAGCATGGGGCTGGCTCAAGCATCAAGCATGGGGCTGGCTCTAGCATGGGGCTGGCTCAAGCATGGGGCTGGCTCAAGCATGGGGCTGGCTCTAGCATGGGGCTGGCTCAAGCATGGGGCTGGCACAAGCATGGGGCTGGCTCAAGCATGGGGCTGGCTCAAGCATGGGGTCGACTCAAGCATTGGGGCTGGCTCAAGCATGGGGCTGGCTCAAGCATGGGGCTGGCTCAAGCATGGGGTTGGCTCTAGCATGGGGCTGGCTCTAGCATGGGGCTGGTTCAAGCATGGGCCTGGCTCTAGCATGGGGCTGGCTCAAGCATCAAGCATGGGGCTGGCTCTAGCATGGGGCTGGCTCAAGCATGGGGCTGGCTCAAGCATGGGGCTGGCTCAAGCATGGGGCTGGCTCAAGCATGGGGTTGGCTCTAGCATGGGGCTGGCTCAAGCATGGAGCTGGCACAAGCATGGGGCTGGCTCAAGCATGGGGCTGGCTCAAGCATGGGGTCGACTCAAGCATTGGGGCTGGCTCAAGCATGGGGCTGGCTCAAGCATCAAGCATGGGGCTGGCTCAAGCATGGGGCTGGCTCAAGCATGGGGCTGGCTCTAGCATGGGGCTGGCTCAAGCATGGGGCTGGCTCAAGCATGGGGCTGGCTCAAGCATGGGGCTGGCTCTAGCATGGGGCTGGCTCAAGCATGGGGCTGGCTCAAGCATCAAGCATGGGGCTGGCTCTAGCATGGGGCTGGCTCTAGCATGGGGCTGGCTCTAGCATGGGTCTGGCTCAAGCATCAAGCATGGGGCTGGCTCAAGCATCAAGCATGGGGCTGGCTCAAGCATGGGGCTGGATCAAGCATCAAGCATGGGGCTGGCTCAAGCATGGGGTTGGCTCAAGCATGGGGCTGGCTCTAGCATGGGGCTGGCTCAAGCATGGGGCTGGGTCAAGCATGGGGCTGGCTCAAGCATGGGGCTGGCTCTAGCATGGGGCTGGCTCAAACATGGGGCTGGCTCAAGCATCAAGCATGGGGCTGGCTCTAGCATGGGGCTGGCTCTAGCATGGGGCTGGCTCAAGCATGGGGCTGGCTCAAGCATGGGGCTGGCTCAAGAATGGGCCTGGCTCTAGCATGGGGCTGGCACAAGCATGGGGCTGGCTCAAGCATGGGGCTGGCTCAAGCATCATGCATGGGGCTGGCTCTAGCATGGGGCTGGCTCAAGCATGGGGCTGGCTCTAGCATGGGGCTGGCTCAAGCATCAAGCATGGGGCTGGCTCAAGCATCAAGCATGGGGCTGGCTCAAGCATGGGGCTGGCTCAAGCATCAAGCATGGGGCTGGCTCAAGCATGGGGTTGGCTCAAGCATGGGGCTGGCTCTAGCATGGGGCTGGCTCAAGCATGGGGCTGGGTCAAGCATGGGGCTGGCTCAAGCATGGGGCTGGCTCTAGCATGGGGCTGGCTCAAACATGGGGCTGGCTCAAGCATCAAGCATGGGGCTGGCTCTAGCATGGAGCTGGCACAAGCATGGGGCTGGCTCAAGCATGGGGCTGGCTCAAGCATGGGGTCGACTCAAGCATTGGGGCTGGCTCAAGCATGGGGCTGGCTCAAGCATGGGGCTGGCTCAAGCATGGGGCTCGCTCAAGCATGGGGCTAGCTCAAGCATGGGGCTGGCTCTAGCATGGGGCTGGCTCAAGCATGGGGCTGGCTCAAGCATCAAGCATGGGTCTGGCTCTAGCATGGGGCTGGCTCTAGCATGGGTCTGGCTCAAGCATCAAGCATGGGGCTGGCTCAAGCATCAAGCATGGGGCTGGCTCAAGCATGGGGCTGGCTCAAGCATCAAGCATGGGGCTGGCTCAAGCATGGGGCTGGCTCAAGCATCAAGCATGGGGCTGGCTCAAGCATCAAGCATGGGGCTGGCTCAAGCATGGGGCTGGCTCAAGCATCAAGCATGGGGCTGGCTCAAGCATGGGGCTGGCTCAAGCATGGGGCTGGCTCTAGCATGGGGCTGGCTCAAGCATGGGGCTGGGTCAAGCATGGGGCTGGCTCAAGCATGGGGCTGGCTCTACCATGGGGCTGGCTCAAACATGGGGCTGGCTCAAGCATCAAGCATGGGGCTGGCTCTAGCATGGGGCTGGCTCTAGCATGGGGCTGGCTCAAGCATGGGGCTGGCTCAAGCATGGGGCTGGCTCAAGCATGGGGCTGGCTCAAGCATGGGCCTGGCTCTAGCATGGGGCTGGCTCAAGCATCAAGCATGGGGCTGGCTCTAGCATGGGGCCCGCTCAAGCATGGGGCCCGCTCAAGCATGGGGCTGGCTCAAGCATGGGGCTGGCTCTAGCATGGGGCTGGCTCTAGCATGGGGCTGGCTCAAGCATGGGCCTGGCTCTAGCATGGGGCTGGCTCAAGCATCAAGCATGGGGCTGGCTCAAGCATGGGGCTGGCTCAATTATGGGGCTCGCTCTAGCATTGGGGCTGGCTCAAGCATCAAGCATGGGGCTGGCTCATGCATGGGTTTAGGGTTGCTGCAGTGAGCTCATGCCTTGCTGCAGTGAGCTCACGCCTTGCTGCAGTGAGCTCACGCCTTGCTGCAGTGAGCTCATGCCTTGCTGCAGTGAGCTCACGCCTTGCTGCAGTGAGCTCATGCCTTGCTGCAGTGAGCTCATGCCTTGTTACGGCAGCCCGCTTGCTCCTCTGCCAGTGCCTTGCTGCAACTCTCTGGCACCTTGTAGCATGGCGATGCCCAGCTCGTTGCACCAAGGCACCTTGCTCGCTGGAGCCTTGCTGCACACCAGCGTGGTGTGCGTGACCCCAGGGGATCTTTGCTTCAAACCACGCTTGTGAGTCGTCGAATTCGGTTATCTTTTGTACTTATCATATTTCTTTCAAGTTCCATTTCACAATCAAGTGCGTGTTCGTCATTGAATAGTTCACTCCGTTTTCCGACTACAATTCATTTTCTGCTTGACCTGTTTGTTTTGCAAGGTGTGCGAGACGCGTTGTGGGGAGCAGGGAGGGATCGAGAGAGAAGACAATGTGGAAAAGGGTGGGAGGAGATTTCGATGGTAGAGGGAGAGGAAGGAAGGTAGAAAGGGGGAGTAAGGGGGGGGGACAAGGTAGCAGTGATTGATACATAATTAACTTATTGCAACTCTTTGTTATGCTTGTCTGCTCCCAAACCTATTTGTGTATGTATGTGTGTGCGGTGCGGGTGTGTTTGTGCGTGTGTGTGTTTATGTGTTGTCATTGTGTTTGTTTCACTGTGGGGTTTTACGTGCGTTTGCATTCGTGTTTGTGGGATGTGTGTTTCAAAGTGTGGTGTTAGTATGTGTTATGTATGCAATTAGAGGTTGTTAATCGTCTTTGGGGCAGCGTGTTTTCGCTGTTTCAACGACCCCATCAACCTCTGTTGCTGCATGATGCATTTTAACATTCATTTTGAAACATTCACTCCACCTCATACCTTGTTCATTTGTACAATTGCATTCGTTCATGTCGATGCCAGAATGTTATGTCCGGGCGTACAATCCGCCGTATTTATCGACGAGGTTGTGACGGTCGAGCAAGTTCATGGTTTCAACATGATACGTACGTGCTTACATGTTTTGGGGATCTCATTCAAGAGTGTTTTTTATCCACTCTTTGAGGCATCCGTTTGAACACAGTTTCAAAACATTCAAACGAGTGCTCCAAAAAGTGCGTAAATAACACTCTTTGAATGATATCCCCAAAATGTGAAACCAAATATAAAGGGTTGCTACGCAACCCAAAAAGGGAAAATTTCCTTGTAGCGAAAGGCCTGATTTCAGACATCATCAGCAGCACCGACATTCGGTGGCAACAGTGACGCGCCTCGGCTGTCAATTCTTGTAGGTCTGAATGGGGGAGCTTCTCCACAACAGGAAAGGAGCGTGCGAAGGAGCGGGTGAGGGAGGGAGGCAGGGCTCTCGATTCATTTTGGGACACGCTGCTTGATCCGAGTTGTGACCCACCAAGTCCTCGCCAACTTCACTATGGCCAATTTCACCCCCCTGTGTATTCGTTTTAAATTTACCCGAGTTTGAGGGTTGTTTCAAACACTTTGGCTTTAACGAAAGCACGACTGGGACTGCGCACATGAGTTAGTGGAAAAACAAAAGAAACATGGTCGCAGTGGAAGATTCAGTCCTTGCGTTGCGGTCTCAACGTCAGAAGGGGCAAACATCGAAACGTCACAATGCCTCGGATAGCCTCTAGTTCGGGGGTGTCTTACCCCCTATAGTCAAATAAGGTCAGTTTGGTTTTAAGTAAGAACTGACGGGGCGTGAAATTGGCAAGGACTGTGTGTACACCCTGCCTCTGCAGCGTGCCTTGGCAGTCGTACCCAAGAAATAGCAGTGTGTTTTTTTTTCGAGGTTCGTATCTTGCAGGGTTAAAATCCGCAAACACTGCCTAGCAAAAACTTCTGGGTCCGGCAGTTGATCCTGCCATTATGGATCCCGGGTCCTGTCTCGATTGTAAGTGTTTACAGTAACTCGACAGACAGAGAGGATAGTCGTCTCTATACGTAAGTGCGTGGCGGTTGAGCTTTTAGTGGTGTATTTGGGGACATGAGAGGCCTGTCAGTGGGTCTTCTAGGCGCGGTCACTAGCGATGCGCGCCACTCTCTGGAGCTGAATCCCTGGTGTTTCAAGGACTTCGCCGATTCTGGAATTTCAGTCACAAACACTACTGGACACATTTCAGTCACAAACGCCACTCACTGTCGTAACGAGCCGGGAAACGGCAGTGCGGCATATAAGAGTAAACAGCATTTGCAGGGCTTGTTTTTAGCCCCGCCTGACGATGACAGGGTGGACGCCCAGATAAACCCAATTCTAGCAGTGTGAGTCCGAAATATCACCCTGAAATGCAGGCAAACAGGGTAAAACGCCCTGCAATCCTGAGGCCTGGAGGGAGGGGGGTGGGCGCTCTCCTCTCCTCACCCCATCTGCCTGTGTTTGTGCGTTCTGGTACGTTTGTTCGGTTCCGCTAGATTCCGTTTGGTTAATTTCGGTTCCACTGGGTGTCTCGTTCCTTGCATAACGCCTACTCTGCTCCATCCCATGATGGTCGCAACCCGCCTTTGGGGACGGTCGTTCGTAATGTTGTACTTACCGTGTATGTCTGGAACTGTTGTCGGGTTACCGCAAACGACATAGATGCGCCGTCGGATCTCTCAGGGGAGCAAAATCGGACAGTTCAGCCCTCTCGACTTCTTTCAGTATCCCAACACAGATTCCGAGCTGGTTCCAGCTTCCTCCCCGCTGGTGCCACGTGGTTCATTAGCCAATCACATTTCTGAAACCAGACAACCTTTCCACCCTTGAAACACAGTGTACACTGTACGGTCGTATCTTGGGTTTGGGTTCGCCTTTAGGGCTGTGTCGGTAGCACTGTAGCTACCTTTCCAATTGAGCTTTGAGAAGGTTGGACTGAGGCCGCCAAGCGCAAGCATGTTCCGCGTGTCATCCTCACCAAGGAGTCCGACCTTCCGAACCGAGCCGAACCGAAACAAGTTGAATCGACGGGCCATCTTTTGACGGCAGCCGATTATTGCTCTCTAGTTCGTGCTTCGCAGTTGTCGTCTCGCGATTCGCCGTCGTCGCCCTCGCCGCCGCCGTCGCGATAACTTACACGATTTGTACAGTAGTTAGTGCCGTGCAGTGCAGATAAAAGTTCGCACGTTTGCAGCAGTTAGTTCTTCCGCCTCGACCACACACTGTTAGTAGTTAATCTCCTCAACTTGGGCCGACTTAATTTTCTTCTCTCTATCATTTTATTCTGTTGTTACTGCTAGTGGGATTCGCAGTCGCCTCTCGTCGATGCCGTCGGTTCCAGGCAATAAAGATAAATATGGCGACACTCGCCAGCCACCGTCATCGCGGTCGTCGCACTGCGACGTTGCATTGTCGTGTCATCGTCATGCGATCGTGCTTCTCGTCATCGCAAGCAACATCAGAGCGGCGTCAGGTTAGAGTCCCATTTCGTTAATAGTCTCCGTAATCATACTGTTGGCTTTAGTCCATCATCTGTTGCTGCTGAAGATTCTTAGTAGAAGGGGTTTCCGTACTTAAGGGTCCCTTTCCCCCGTCTACTACTACTATAGTCATCCTCCATACGGACAGGCCCGTTATTCGTCCTGCTTCCACTACTACGGACCAGGGAGTACGATAATATCCGCGCTCGTTCACGCATCAGTGCACCCCATCCCGCCATTCAACGCACCCCGACAGTCGTCTTTTAAGGAGCCCTAAGATTTGCTCTTTGGGGTTCCCCACGAAAAACACTTTGCATTCATCGTTGCGCCCGTTCCGCGCTCCACTCTTCCCCGCTCCACTCTTCCCCGCTCCACTCTTCCCCGCTACACTCTTCCCCGCTCCACTTTTCCCCGCCCAGTGCGTGGCACGAGCCCTTCCCCCTTGTTTCCTTCTCCACTCCCTCCCCCCCCCCCCAGTTTCCGCCGCCTCGTTTCCCCGACTCCCCCCTTTCCCCCTTCCCCCCCATTTTCCCCTCTCCCCTATCCATACTTCTCCAACCCTGCTTTTCCCTTCTCCTGACCACGCCCCTCCTTCCTGCCCGCGCGTTTCACCGCCCCTCTTCCCCTCATTTCTTTCCCCTTCCCCCCGTCCCCCACCCCCCCTCCTCCCCCCATTTCCCCCGTGCTTGACTCTCCCCCTTCCACTCTCCCCCTTCCGCCCTCCTCCCTCCTCTTCCCCCCCTTCCGCTTTCCTCCTTCCGCCATGGTTTCTCGTCCTGCCGCCGTTCCACTTCCCCGCCCTTGTGGCCTAGTTTTGAGACGTCTTTTGAGGCGAATTTTGAGACGTCTTTTGAGACCACTATTGAGACGACTTTTGAGACGTCTTTTGAGACGACTTTTGAGACGTCTTTTGTGACGACTTTTGAGACGACTTTTGAGACGACTTTTGAGACGACTTTTGAGACGACTCAAAACTAAACTATTAATCATCCGCATGCACGCACCCACCCCATGCATCCTACCCAGCATGCATCCTACCCAGCATGCATCCCATCCCATCCCATCCCATCCCGCATATGCATCCCATCCCATCCAGCATGCATTCAATGTCATAACGTACGCTCTATTTTCTGTAGCTGCTCTGCTTCCTAAAGTCCATATTTCGTTCTAATGTGCAGCTTAATTCGTAACGTGCCACGTCAGCTGCGACCACCTGCTTCCCCGCCGCCCACTTCAATTTCCTACCTTTCATCCTCAATTCTCACGGGGCGTGACAGCAACTGCTCTCTCTCTGCCCTTCTCCACCCCCCGCCCCCCTCTCCTCCCCACCCGCCCCCCTTCCCTCCCCTGCCCTGCCCTTCTTCCATATCCTGCCCCTCTCCTTCCCCCTCCCCTTCCCCCAGCATCCGCCTGTAGCGCGGTGCCCAACTTTGCGCTGCTACAGCCGAGGCATCTCAAAAGCGTGTCAAGAAATGCGGGCATGGGGTATGACGGCGGGTGCTCTCCCCTTCCTCCCCCCATGCCCTCCTGCCCCCCCCTCCCCCAGCCTACGCCTGTAGCGCGGTGCCCAGCTTTGCGCTGCTACAGCCGAGGCACCTGAACCGCGTATCGAGATATCCGAGCATGGGGTATGACGGCGGGTGTGACTGCTGGAGTGTTGACCTGAACGTGGACTGGCGCGACCTGGAGGGCGTGCAAGGCGTGCGCAACGAGGGCGCGTGCAGTGAGTAACATGGTGGTGTCGTGCAGTGTGCGGTTCTGTGCGGTTTGGTGTGCTAGCGTATGATGGCTGGTCGGAGCATGGGGTATAGCAGCAGGTGTGACTGCTGGAGTGTTGACCTGAACGTGGACTGGCGCGAGCTGCAGGGCGTGCAAGGCGTGCGCAACGAGGGGGTGTGCAGCGAGTAATGTGGTGGTGTGGTGTGGTGCTATCTAATGCAGTGTGGATTGATATGGTGTGGTGCAGTGTGGTGCGGAGTGTTAGCACATGATTGCTGGTCGGAGCATGGGGTATAGCAGCAGCTGTGACTGCTGGGGTGTTGACTTTTAATGTGGACAGGCGCGAGCTGTAGGGCGTGCAAGGAGTGCAGTGAGTGTGGTGGGGTGTGGTATGGTATGGTGCGGTGCGGTGTGGTGTGGTGTGATGCAGTGTGGTGTGGTGCGGTGTGCTGCTTCCTCGTCCTTACTCTTGTTCGTTTTTGCTTGTGCCGCCCGCTTTTCTCCCCGCTCTCCCTGCTGGTCCCTTTCCCCCATGGCAGAGGCATCATGGCCGATCGCAGCAGAGAACGCGGTGGGAGTGAGAGTGACTGCGGCTATGATTGCAATTCTTGAGACGTCTCAATAGTAGTTGCGCATGGAGCATGGATTCGCACTGAGAGTAGTTGCGCGCTCCATGTGCTGTGGGCTGCACCTGCACCAGCCGATTTTTCAGTCGACTCAAAAATCACACCTGCACCTGCACAAGCCCCCGGTAGCAGTTGAGCGACTGCCCCTGTCTCAAAAGTCCTCCTCCTCCACCTCCCCCCTGCCCACCCCCTCGTGTGGCAGAGGCGTCATGGGGGATGGCAGCAGTGAGCGCGGTGGAGGGGACACAATGGCTATGAGTGGGACTTTTGACCCCGTCCTCCCCCCCCCACCCCCCTCCCCCCCTGCCCATCCCTCCCCGACAGCAGAGGCATCATGGGGGATGGCAGCAGTGAGCGCGGTGGAGGTTACATGACACCATGGCTATGATTGCGAATTTTGACACGCCTCAGAAGTCCCCCCTCCAACAACCCGCCCACCACCCTCCCCCTTTCCCCTCCTCCACCTCCCCCCCCGTCCCTCCCGCCTGTTCAGAGCAGAGGCGTCATGGGTGATCACAGCAGTGAACGCGGGGGAAGTGACGATGGCTATGATTGCAACACCATTGAAGTGTCCTTTCCCCCAAACCCCTCCCCAACCCCCCCCCCCCCCCTCTCTCTCTTCTCCTCCTCGCCCCCTGCCCAGAGGCGTCATGGGCGATCGCAGCAGTGAACGCGGTGGAAGTGACCATGGCCATGGTTGCAGACCAGCTAGAGTCGTACGACAGTGCCTTCAACATCTCCGTGCAGCAGGTGCGTGCGCTCAGCAGCACATGACAAGATTGAGTGAGACGCCCAACGCAACACAGCAGGTTCGGTGTGGTGTGGTGTGCGGTGCGGTGCGGTGAGCACGTCATCCTTGGTGGTGCGGACTCGAAGGTAAAGGCAAGCCTTGGTGTAGGCAAAGGGTTTGAGTCGACTCTAAAAACGGCTATGCTGTGCGTGCATGGGCTACATAGTGTGTGCATGGGCTACATCATGCGTGCATGGGCTATATCGTGCGTGCATGGGCTACATCGTGCGTGCATGGGCTACATCGTGCGTGCATGGGCTACACACGCTAATGCGCGCACCCTCGTGCAAGCACGCATCCTTCACACTCCACCCACCCTCTCATGCTCCTCTCCCCGTCCCCTCTGCCCAGCAGCAGCAGCTGCAAGGGCAGGTGGTCCACATCAGCGCCAGTGCTGACCCTCCACCGTCTTGCACCCCTCCTTCCTCTCCTTCACCGCTTCAGGTGGTGGACTGCGAGCCCAGCAGCAGCAGCTGCAAGGGCGGGTGGCCCACATCAGCGCTGGACTACATGGTGGATGCCAGTAACGACCTGGGGGGGCTTGTGCCGCAGCTGCAGTACCCGTACAAGGGCAAGCAGGCCAAGTGCAACGCAGGCAAGGTGCGAGGGGAAGGTGCGAGGGGGGATGTGTTGTTCGGATCGGGCTTGGGTAGAAAGAAGAATAGAGAAGTGAAAGGACATCTAATATTTTCTTCTCCCTCTTCCCTCACTCCCTCCCCTTTCATCCTCCCCCCTCTGCTCTCCCTCTGCTCCCCCTCAGATCGCCACGTCATCCACGCCACTGGGTCTGGCGCGATACGAGCAGGTGGACTTGTATGGGTGGATTGGGCTGCTGCTGGCCGTGCAGGTGCAGCCAGCCATTGTCTCCTCCCTCTACCGCCCTCACTGCCTTCCTCACCCCCTTCCTCTCCCCATCCCCTCACCCCGCTCAGATCGCCACATCGTCCACGCCACTGGGTCTGGCGCGGTACGAGCAGGTGGACTTCTATGGGTGGATCGGGCTGCTGCTGGCCGTGCAGGTGCAGCCGGTCATTGCCTTTGTGCGCGGCAGCTTCCCCTCCTTCCAGAAATACAAATGGGTATGCTGTTCTTTTACTTCTTGGTGTAGCTGCTGATATGGCTTGTTTAGCACTTGTAATAAGAAAAGGCGTTTTCTAGGACCCCGAGTGTGCAGCAGCCGCAGGCATCGTGGACCAAGAAGAGGTGACTTTTGAGTCGACTCAAAAGTCGCAGTGCTGCTGGTGGGCTATGGGGAAGAGGTGACTTTTAAGTCGACTCAAATGTCGCAGTGCTGCTGGTGGGCTATGGGGAAGAGGTGACTTTTAAGTCGACTCAAATGTCGCAGTGCTGCTGGTGGGCTATGGGGAAGAGGTGACTTTTAAGTCGACTCAAATGTCGCAGTGCTGCTGGTGGGCTATGGGGAAGAGGTGATCTTAAGTCGACTCAAATGTCGCAGTGCTGCTGGTGGGCTATGGGGAATGCGTTTATTCTCCCTCTCGTTCCATCTTCCTTTTAAGGATTCTCAGTTGAGTCGTTTTTGAACTCGTGCTGGGCAATGGGTTGTGCGGTCACTCTCCCTCCTTTTGCATCTCCTTTACTTCCCCTTTTCCCATCGACCCACCCCCCCTCCACTTCCCATCAGGGGGTGCTACTCCTCTCCCTCCTCTCCTTCCTCACCGTCCCTATCTCCCTTCCGATCCTCTCACCCCTTTTGTTCCCCTCAGGGCGTCTATGGCGATCCCAGGTGTGCGGCAGCAGGCATTGTGGACCATGCAGTGCTGGTGGTGGGGTATGCGTTCACGGGGCCAAATGGGCAGGGCAACTGGATCGTGCGCAACTCGTGGGGCACCAAGTGGGGCGAGCAGGTGCGGTGGGGTGGATGGGGTTACCTGCAGGTGCTGGTGGTGGGGTAGGGTACGCGTGGGCGCTCCCTTGCAGTCCCTGATGGGCAGGGCAACTGGACCCTGCGCAACTCGTGGGGCATCAAGTGGTGGGGCGAGCAGGTGCGGTGCGGTGCGGCGATGGCATGTGGCATGGATGGGCATGGCATGGTATGGATGGCATGCGCATGGGTGTGTATGATGGCATGGGTGTAATCAAATCAGGGTATAAAAAAATATGGTATCTTTGAAATTTTACAGTTAAGAACCATATTGTATAAAACGGCTGTAAAAAACGGTAAAACACGGTCCAGGATGTGTTCTCTGTTTGGTCTAAAAACCGGTCGTTTTTTTTCTTTCTTTTCACTAGGAGGGGGTATCAATCAACCCATGGGACAACAGGGAAATTGAGCAGGAGAAAGAGTTATTTATCAAGTTATCTACATAATTGTTTGCATTTTCTTGCATGTTTCCGTTTGTAGACATGATTGAAAAATGTATCCGACCTTTTTTTTTTCTTTCCTTTTTTTTGTGATCGGGCTCTAACGAAAAACGGTCGCTTTTTTTCTCGCAAAAAAATCCGTAAAAAACCGGACTGCATCTCACGAAAACCATCTATTTAAACCTTGGGTGTGATGTGATTGCATGGATGTGATGTGATGATGTTGTGAACATGGCCTCTTGGGTGACAAATGGGGTGCGCAGGTGGGGCAAAGGAATGCGGGAGAAAATGTTGTAGAAGGGGAGGGAGGGGGGGGCAATGGGGATGAGTTTGGGAGAGGACAGAGGGTGCGGATATAGAGAGCGAGGGTATTGCCGAAAAGGTGTGGATATAGAGAGCGAGGTCATTGCCGAGAAGGTGCGGATATAGAGAGCGAGGTCATTGCCGAGAAGGTGCGGATATAGAGAGCGAGGTCATCGCCGAGAAGGTGCGGATATAGAGAGCGAGGTCATTGCCAAGAAGGTGCGGATATAGAGAGCGAGGTCATTGCCAAGAAGGTGCGGATATAGAGAGCGAGGTCATTGCCAAGAAGGTGCGGATATAGAGAGCGAGGTAATTGCCAAGAAGGTGCGGATATAGAGAGCGAGGTCATTGCCAAGAAGGTGCAGATATAGAGAGCGAGGTCATTGCCAAGAAGGTGCGGATATAGAGAGCGAGGTCATTGCCGAGAAGGTGCGGATATAGAGAGCGAGGTCATTGCCGAGAAGGTGCGGATATAGAGAGCGAGGTCATTGCCAAGAAGGTGCGGATATAGAGAGCGAGGTCATTGCCAAGAAGGTGCGGATATAGAGAGCGAGGTCATTGCCAAGAAAGTGCGGATATAGAGAGCGAGGTCATTGCCAAGAAGGTGCGGATATAGAGAGCGAGGTCATTGCCGAGAAGGTGCGGATATAGAGAGCGAGGTCATTGCCGAGAAGGTGCGGATATAGAGAGCGAGGTCATTGCCGAGAAGGTGCGGATATAGAGAGCGAGGTCATCGCCGAGAAGGTGCGGATATAGAGAGCGAGGTCATTGCCAAGAAGGTGCGGATATAGAGAGCGAGGTCATTGCCGAGAAGGTGCGGATATAGAGAGCGAGGTCATTGCCAAGAAGGTGCGGATATAGAGAGCGAGGTCATTGCCAAGAAGGTGCGGATATAGAGAGCGAGGTCATTGCCAAGAAGGTGCGGATATAGAGAGCGAGGTAATTGCCAAGAAGGTGCGGATATAGAGAGCGAGGTCATTGCCAAGAAGGTGCAGATATAGAGAGCGAGGTCATTGCCAAGAAGGTGCAGATATAGAGAGCGAGGTCATTGCCGAGAAGGTGCGGATATAGAGAGCGAGGTCATTGCCGAGAAGGTGCGGATATAGAGAGCGAGGTCATTGCCAAGAAGGTGCGGATATAGAGAGCGAGGTCATTGCCAAGAAGGTGCGGATATAGAGAGCGAGGTCATTGCCAAGAAAGTGCGGATATAGAGAGCGAGGTCATTGCCAAGAAGGTGCGGATAAAGAGAGCGAGGTCATTGCCGAGAAGGTGCGGATATAGAGAGCGAGGTCATTGCCGAGAAGGTGCGGATATAGAGAGCGAGGTCATTGCCAAGAAGGTGCGGATATAGAGAGCGAGGTCATTGCCAAGAAGGTGCGGATATAGAGAGCGAGGTCATTGCCAAGAAGGTGCGGATATAGAGAGCGAGGTCATTGCCAAGAAGGTGCGGATATAGAGAGCGAGGTCATTGCCAAGAAGGTGCGGATATAGAGAGCGAGGTCATTGCCAAGAAGGTGCGGATATAGAGAGCGAGGTCATTGCCAAGAAGGTGCGGATATAGAGAGCGAGGTCATTGCCAAGAAGGTGCGGATATAGAGAGCGAGGTCATTGCCAAGAAGGTGCGGATATAGAGAGCGAGGTCATTGCCAAGAAGGTGCGGATATAGAAGTGTGCAGTGTTTTTTCAAGCAGGTCAAGCTAGGAAGTTGCCTTGTTCCATCAATCCATCTCTCCACCTCTCTCCACCTCTAACCACCTCCCCTCTCCCCCCCGTGCTCTTCCCCTCCCTTTCTTTCCTATCTGGGGCATGAGAGGATGAAGCTCTCTCCCTTTTTTTCCCCGATCTCCCCATTCTCCCTCTCCCGTTCTCCCTTCCCATCAAGGCCGTATGAGGATGGCTTTGCAAGAAGCATTGGCATCTCCCCATCTCCCCCATTCCCCAATTCCCCCACTCCCCCTCTCCCGTTCTCCCGTTCTCCCTTCCCATCAAGGCGTATGAGGATGGCTTTGCAGGAAGTGTTGGCATCTCCACTTCTCTCCTCATCACTCTCTCCACTTCTCTCTACCTCTCTGCCCCTCCCCATCTCCCCCATTCCCCCTCTCCCCACTCCCTCCCCTCCCAATCAGGGCCATATGAGGATGGCTTTCGCGGGAAGCGTTGGCATCTGCGGATATAGATTGTATTTAACTTCACCTCACCTCCCCCTTCGCCCTCCATTTGTGAAGTTTGTCTCCCTCTCTCCCTCCCTCCCTCCCTCCCTCCCTTCCCATCAGGGCCATATGAGGATGGCTTTCGCAGGAAGCGTTGGCATCTGCGGAATCCATTCCGTGCCGGCTATTTACCCCATCGTTCAGGGTGAGTTGCACCATTTACCCCATCGTTCAGTGTGAGTTACACCATTTACCCCATCATTCAGGGTGAGTTACTCCATTTACCCCATCGTTCAGGGTGAGTTACACCATGTACCCATTCTTTCAGGGGTGAGTTACACCATTTACCATTTTGTTCAGGGTGAGTTGTCATCGAGCCATGTCGTCCTCTGCTCCTTTGCAACCGTCGATCATCTACAAGAGTGATTCAATTCTCTCCGTTTCCCCTCCTCCTCCCCGTTCCTCCCGTCCTCCCCTCCTCCCCCCCCCCCCCCTCCCCCTCCCCTGCCGTTCCCCTTTGACTCACTCCAGAAGCCCTGGGGGGGCAGCGCTTGTATCAATCCGCTACAGCAGTAACTCACTACCCTCCGTTCCCCCGTCACTCCCCCCTACACCTTCCCCCCATCATCCTCCTCCATCTGCCACCAAGCCACACCAGTTCCGTCCCCCTGTGACTCGTTGCCCCTCCATTCTCCCCCCACACACCTTTCCCCTATCACCCTCCCCCACTCTCCGTCCCCATGCCCATCCCCTTCCCCTTCACACCAGTGCCTTCCCCCTGTGACTTGGCCACTAACCCTGTGGGGGCGGCGCAAAATTAACTCACTCCCCTCCGTCCCCCCTCCACTCCCCCCCACACCTTCCCCCCCATCACCCTCCCCCATTAACCGCCGTGCCACACCAGTGCCATCGCCCTGTGACTCGCCTCAGAAGCCCTGTGGGGGCGGCGTGTGTGTGCCTGAGGAGGGCGGCTACTCTTGTCAGTGTCCGGCGGGCTTTGTCAGTTTCACCAACGACGACGGCATGCAGACGTGCGCTCCACGTGAGTCTCTTGCTTTCTATTGTGTCCTTCTGTTCGCACGCACATGCACGCTTCAGCACTATCCTTCCCATGTCTCACATGCACACAGACATGCACACGCACATGCACATGCACATGCACGCTTCAGCACCGGCCTTATCTTGCCTCGTTTTCTGCCGTGTGCCATTGTAACGACGTGATTTTTGAGTCGACTCAAAAGTTACTATGTCTCACATGCACATGCACGTGCACACGCACATGCACGCTTCAGCACCGGCCTTATCTTGCCTTCTTTTCTGCGCCCCTTTCTCACCTCCTCCCTTCCTCCTGTTCCCTTTTCCTTGTCATCCCAGTCGATGCATGTGGCACGCAGGCATCTAACCCGTGCCTCACATGCACACGCACCTTCTTGAGCCGCCTTGGAATGGAAGTATTTTTCACCTCCCCCCTCCCCCTGTTCCCATTCCCTCGCCATCCCAGTGTATGCATGTGGCACACAGGCGTGCAACCCATGCCTCACAGACACATGCACCTTTTTTAGCCGCCTTGGAAGTCTTTCTCACCTCCTCCCTCCCTCCTCCTCCCTCCCTCCTCCCCCCTCCCTCCTCCCCCCTTCCCCCCTTTTTCATCCCAGTGGACGCATGTGGCACGCAGGCGTCCAACCCATGCCTCACAGACACATGCATCAACGACACATTCCGTCCCATGTCTTGTTCCCTGTGCCCTTTTCTCACCTTTCCCCTCCTCACCCGTCTCGCATTCTCCTCCCTTCCATCCCAGTGGATGCATGTGGCACGCAGGCGTCCAACCCATGCCTCACAGGCACTTGCATCAACGACAATGCGGGCGGCTACTTTTGTCTTTGCCCCCCGGGATATGTGAAGGGCAGCCTCACGCTCGGATGGGATACCTGCACGCCCTGTGAGTGGCGCTGGGGCCCGGCTGTTGCATGCATGCAGATGGGCAAGCATGCAGATGGGCATACGTGCAGATGGGCAAGCGTGCAGATGGGCATGCGTGCAGATGGGCATGCGTGCAGATGGGCATGATACCATGTGGCAACACACATAGACACGCACTCGGACAGGAGACCTGCACGCCCTGTGAGTGACGCTGGTGCCTGGCTGTGGTATGCGTTCACTTGGGCGTGCGTTCACTTGGGCGTGCGTTCACTTGGGCGTGCGTTCACTTGGGCGTGCGTTCACTTGGGCGTGCGTTCACTTGGGCGTGCGTTCACTTGGGCGGGCTTGTGCATGGGTATGCTTGCACATGGGCATGCTTGTGCATGGGTATGCATACACATGGGTACCCCTGCATGTGGGATACACACACACATGCACACATGCCTCACATGCACATGCACTCTTGTGTACTTACACATGTCTCCCGCCCTTGTGTTCTGCTCCTTCACCTCCTCTTCCACCCACCCACCTGCCCCCACCCTGCTTATCCAGCCTCACTCCTCTCCCTCCACCAAACTCGCCTTCCTGCTTCACATGGACTCGCCTTCCTGCTTCACATGGACTCGCCTTCCTGCTTCACATGGACTCGCCTTCCTGCTTCACATGGACTCGCCTTCCTGCTTCACATGGACTGTTTCTGAGGCGCCTATTTCCGTTTTTTTTTTTTCTCAGTTTTCGTTCAGGCGCCTCAAACGTATTCTCATCCCCCTCCGCCCGCCACACTCGCCTTCCTCCTGGCTCTCATGGACCGCCCCGCTCTGCTCGTCTTCTTCCTTGTTTTCTCCGCCTCCCACTCCCCCACCCGTTAGCCCACCCTGCTGCAGTCTCGCCCCCCCCCCCCACCACCACCCCCTCCTTCCCAGTGGACATGAACTGCCCGCTCGTCTTCCCCCTTCCTTTGACCAACTCCAACTCCCCCACCCGTTGTTAACCCCCTTCCACTTTCCCCCCTCCCCACTGCTGCATCCTCGTTCCCCGCCCACCACGCTCACTCCTTGCCTTGCCTCCATGCCCTCCCTCCTCCTCTCTACCCCACCTCCCTTCAGCCACTAACTCCCCCCACCCACTGCCCGCTAACCCCCTTTCACCTTTCACCTTTCCCCCCCCCCCCCCCCCACTTCGCCAGCCACCGATCCCCCCACAACGCTCACCTTCCCCGTGGACGTGGACTGCCCACAAGTATACCAGCTCTTTCTTTCGCATTCCGCATTCCTGAATTGGCATTCCCCTTCCTTCCCCCCCCCCCCCCCTTCGCCAGCCACCGATCCCCCCACAACGCTCACCTTCCCCGTGGACGTGGACTGCCCGCTCGTCTACCAGCTCTACGGCCTCACAGAGGAGGCATTCCTCGCTCAGAACTCCGAGCTGGTGAGCTCCCTCTCTTGACGCACGTGAGGCGAGCACTGTTCCACTCGGTTTTGACCCAGTTGAATCGCTTGAATAATGCTCTCTAGTACTTTGGAGGCAACTCCTGACGCTCATACCCTCGCCTCTTCCTCTCTCCCCCTTCTCTCCCCCTTCCCTCCCCCATTCTTCCCTCCCTCCTTCCTCCCTCCCTCCCTCCCTCCCTCCCTCCCTCCCTCCCTCCCTCCCTCCCTCCCTCCCTCCCTCCCTCCCTCCCTCCCTCCTCCAATTCCCCCACTTTCCCCACCAGTCCTCCCCATGTGCCACCATCCCAGCCAACACTGAAATCAACGTGGCTACCATTCACATGTGCTCCCTCCCCCCCTCCCCTCGCCCTCCTTCTCTCCCCACCCTCTCCCACCAGGCCTCCCCATGCGCCACCATCCCAGCCAACACCGAAGTCAACGTGGCACCCACATCCACCTGCATCGCCTGCAGCCTCTTCTACTCCTGGACCAACGACGACTCCTGCTCGGCTGTAGCGGAACTGTTCGAAATCGACGAGACCGAGTTGACTCGCTTGAATCCCGGGCTCGACTGCTCTGGCAGCGAGTCCTGCCACGCGCCCTCTCCAGGCCAGCAGGTGGGTTGGAAACGGTTGAAAGCAGCTTTAACCGCTTAGCGGGAATCAGCAACTTGTAGTGTTCGGGTCTTGACTGCTCTGGCAGCGAGTCCTGCCTCGCGCCCTCTCCAGGCCAGCAGGTGGGTCATGAAACGCAAAGAAAAGAAAAGCCACAGCCGTCGTTTGAGATGCCTTGACTTGTCTAGGCTTGATTGATGTGGTCTTGACTTCTCTGGTCTTGACTGCGCTGGACTTCATGTAAGCTGTTGTGCTAAAAGCTAGCTAGTTCACGTAAGGATTTGTACAACAGTTGATTGATATGGTCTTGACTTCTCTGGAATTCATCCATCCCATGTGTGAGCGGTGGGAGGGCGAGTGAGCCAGCATAATCCCATCCCTTCCCCCTTCGTCTTCCCCTTTTCTCAATTCCCCCTCCTCCATTCCCCCTCCCTCACTCACAGTCGCAGATCTGTGTGCGAGAGGGCGATGGGATGGACTACCCTATGTGCTCGTGGCGGGAGGCCGAGCGAGCAGAGCAATCACCCTCCCATCCCTTCCCCTTTCTCCATCCCCCCGTCTCCATCCCCCCTTTCCCCATTCCGCAGATCTGTGTGCGAGAGGGCGATGGGATGGACTACCCGATGTGCTCGTGGTGGGAGGGTGTGAAACCAGGGGACACATGTGCTACTCTCATGCAGCGCTACAACCTGCCCGCACTCTCCTTCTTCTGGATGAACCCGGGCCTCACGTGTGACAACCTCTTCCCCAACGGCATGGACATCACTGGAGTGCAGGTGACACCTGGGGGAGGTGGTTACTTGTGCCTGCGTGCAGGTAGCAACTGGTATTAGGGAGGGAGGGAGTAGCCACCCTCATGCAGCGCTACAACCTTCCGGCACTCTCCTTCTGGATGAACCCGGGCCTCGCATGTGACAACCTCTTCCCCAACGGCATGGACATCACAGGCGTGCAGGTGACACTTGGGGGAGGTGGTTTCTGGAGTGCAGGTGACACTTGGGGGAGGTGGCTTCTGGAGTGCAGGTGACACTTGGGGGAGGTGGCATCTGGAGTGCAGGCGACATTGGGGGCAGGTGTTTTCTGGCGTGCAGGTGACAACCAGGGGAGGTGCTATGCTGGATGGAAGGTGGCTTGCTACTACTGGCGTGCAGGTGATATTGGAGGGAGGTTTCTACTGGTGTGCAGGCAGCTCTTACCGTTTGATCCAGTGCCTTCGGCCCATCCCATTGCGTGTCCCGCACCTAGTCTTTTCTCTCCTCAACCCTGTCACCACACCCCATCTCACTGAACCCCCTCTCACCGCTCTTCATCTCACGGCACCCAAATCCACCCATCTGGCCCCCAGGTGTGCCTCTTCGCATACATCTACATCAGCACCACCAGCGCCAGCTACCGATCCTACTCGCTCACCCAGCCACTCCTCACCCAGCAGCACCGCACCCAGCCGCAGCCCACCGCTCTTCCCCTCCCATCAACACCCCACTCACTGGGAAAGCTCACTCCACAGCAGAGCTCCTCCATACAACATCCCTCACCCCAACAAGGCCTCCTCCATCAATCCCCTTGGAAACGCGTCTGGACAGCAAAGCACCTCACAGGCAAGCCGCCCTTCCAGCTTCCCCCGTGGCAGCAGCCCGCGTGGCAGCAGCGGTGGGCAAGGCTAGTTAAAGCCGGAGTGCTAAGGGTGGGCCGGGCGCCTGTGACGAAGCGGCGGTGCCTGGCGTTCTACTCGGTGACGAGGGGGGACTTCTGTGCGCGCATCATATCGCTCAAGTTCCAGAACAGTGCGCGAAAGATGGCAGAGCTGAACAATGGATACGTGTGCAACAATGACCGGCTGTATGTGGGGTTGAGCCTGTGCACGCGGAGGTAGGAGTGCCTCTGAGGGCTGAATAACGGGTACGTGTGCAGTGCAGCGTTGATGAGCCGATGACCGCCGCTTTTGTGTTAGCCTCTGCTGCATGCACTGGTAATAGCGAGGCTTAGCTGGTTTGCAGCGAGATGTTAGCTGGGTATGCACTGCACGCGCCTGCGACGATGACCGCCTTCATGAGGGGCTGGCGGGGCCCTTGCCTTGCACACGCTGCTAGTGAGAGGCTTGCACATGCAGTGTGTTCTGACAGGGCGTGTGCCATGCTGTGCCATGCTGTGCCATGCTGTGCCATGCTGTGCCATGCTGTGCCATGTGCCCCACAGAAAGGCGGTCATCGTTGATTATATGGAGGGGAGGCGTCCGTGGGACAGATGATGGGACAGATGATGGGACAGATGATGGGACAGATGATGGGACATGGGTTTGTTTGAGCAGATGATGGGACATGGGTTTGTTTGAGCAGATGATGGGACATGGGTTTGTTTGAGCAGAGGGTATGTCTGCAGCAGGGCCTACTTTTGGATTCTAGGTACTCTGATTTCCAGAGTAGTTTTTTTCCCAACTCTGAAATCTAGGGTTGTTCATGCGCCTTACTCTGATTTGTCAGAGTAACCCTACACTTTAAAAAATAAAACCTAGGCACGTCAGAGTAATATTTTTCTCTACTCTGATGTTGGTTAAGTTTGCTGTATGAAAGTTTTTGTTACGCCTTTTGTGCTTGCACTATGTTTCATTTCCGCGTCGCCCACGCTTCCCCCCTCAGTGCGTTGTTTCCAAGTGAGGTGTTGGCACCAGGGCTTTTTTTGGGTTGCGAAGCAACCCTTTACAATCGATTTTGACAAATTTTCTTTCCATGTTTTTTATTTAACACGAAAATAAAATTCGTAAGCTACAGTACCATCCTTCCCATTGTGCATATATTAATTTCTTTTTTATTATAGTAGTTTTTTGCCTATATGCTATACTGTTTGCGTTTTATGTTTTACTGCTTGCCGTTGTTGTGATAATTGCATGTAAAAAATATTACGAATATGAGTAATGAAGTACATACCACGCATGCTTAAATGAATGTAATGCGGCAAGATATATAGATGCATAATACTGATACATGGATGAAAATGCTTTTCCATGAAGCGAAATGCTGAAATGCAACATACGAGATGTCATACAAATGCGTGATAGTTAACGACCCAAAAACTAGGCTACCGCATCCCCTGCCTAGCATGGGGGGGAAGTCAATAGCAAAGTCTTTGAATAATAAACCAACACATGAAAAAATGCAATCTGTTAACTCTAAAAAAGAGGTTCACACTATCAAATCCAGTTCGAAGTGGCAAACACACGAGTCACTGAGTGCGCCAATGAACCAATGAGAAATGATAGAAATGAACCCCTTTTTTTAAATTGACAGACATGCATTAATATTGCAATGATCAATGAGATGAATGCACTCTCACAATCAAACACATTCACACAATCAAAAGCACAAACAGCAGCAAACCCAGCCAAAACACGCGATAATAAATAACATGCAAATCAACATTAAATGGACAATATGACAAGATAAATCCTGAAAGTGACCGATACACATTTTCCAGATTCAAATCCCCTTCCTGAGCAGCAAGACTCCTGAGAAACGGGTTTAGAATGTAGAAAGGAGGAACGAAAGAAATAGTCGGTACAAAAAAAAAAACAGAAAAGGAAATGAGGTGTGATGAAATGACGAGATGCAGGAATAACCAAGAAACGAATGAAACAATACAAGGGCTAAGAAAAACGCCGTGAGCATTGAAAGGTTAGAGCCGACAAATAGAAAGGAGGTACAGAGGCATAAAACGAAAGTAAGGAACGGGAACAGAGGGAAAACACATAAGAGCTAGGTCGTACGGAATGAACGAACGAAGGAGGACATGAAGACCATGCAAGAGGATGTGAAACCGAAAATTAGAGAAAATAGGATGTGAGATGACGGACTGAAAGAAGAAGAGAAGAGATTAGGAAGAAATACGAACTGGAATATCTAAATAAAAAAACGGAATATGTAAACGGAGAATGCGCAGGACGCTGAGTGTCATCATCGGCATCTAAGAATAGAGGAAGTAAAGCTTACCTAAGAAGCTGTAGGTGAGAGTGGCGGCCTCTCCCTTAGCGCGCCTGGCACGAGCAAAAAGTCACCAACGCGCCAAGCACAAGCAGAACGATTCCAGCAAGAAGTTACAAGAGGGAAAACAAAAGAGAAACACGGACGGAGAGAAAATGAGAAGAGAGATAACAATAGCGGATGGAGAGAGAAGGAAAGGAGAAAGACATACGGAACCTTGAATATGCAACAAAACAGGAGTAACAAGGTAGCAAAAACGAAGGCATGATACAAAAAAACGGAAAGGTAGTCTTCACGTGACGAAGGCATGATCTCGAGTTAACTTTCTCCTAGTCAACTTAAGTAGGCTAACGATAGTCTTAACAAACTAGCAACACTTGCTACTCCTACTCTTCCAGCTGCTGCTACTCTCTTACCTAGAAACTGGAATAGCGTGACAGACAGGAGTGGTTGGAGAAGAAGCAGAGGAAAGGAAAAGAAGGAACGTGAAAAACCTAACCACCTCATTCGTCGCGTAAAACTGATTTGTTAAAAATACGAATGAATATCGACGGGTTTAACTCAATGGTTGAGTTTGGCATCAGAATCGGAAGGTTGCAGGATCGATTCTGGTAGACGAATTTAACCCACAGAAAAGTTTGTAGTTAAATCTTAATGAAGATTGTTTAGTTTTTGAACATCAAATACAACGTATACAACTAGACAAATAGCTTCGCAACCCTAGGTCGACTTTGTCGCCTCTTGTTTGGATTTTCACTACTCGGATTTCCAGAGCTGTTTTCTAGGGAACTCTGAAATTCAGGGTTCATTATGAGCGTTATTCTGATTTGTCAAAGAAAACTGCACTTCTGAAAAATTTACTCTGGGCACCCAGTGTACCTATTTTTCCAACTCTGAGTGCCCTCCCAAGTATTGAACCCAGGCCTTCTGCACTCCTACCAAAAAACTATGCTGAGCGTTGTGCTACGCGGTCATCATTAGATTTGCTTACAAACATTATATATTCTTGTTAACCCACTAATTGGGGGGGGGGGGGGGGGGGGGGGTGTCAAATGATTATAATTTTTAAACACATTGATGTTTTTCAAAATTGTGTATTGTGAAAGCGAAGCTGACTGTACCGAATATTTGGCAGCGTCGAAGCGCGCTAAACGCCCTTCTCCAACTACAAAAACCGTGGGTTGGAGTTCATTCCCTCCACCCACGTTTCTCGTTTTCCAACGGCTCAATCAACATTTCCGTTCGAGTAGTTCTTTTCCCCGTCCAAGCTGGCTAGAACTCGCACCCTTCCCAGAGGCGAGTCACCCTCAACACTTCTGCAAGACATTTTCAACCACAATCGATCTACAATGGCGTCTACGCCGGCACTTAACCGCGTCAATTCGTCTGCGCCGGTTTCCGACTCCGACCGTAACGCCCGAGAAATGACGGGCGATCGCCGTAACAAGCGGCGGGCAGAGGAAGGATCGCCCGCCCCAACTGCCGTGGACGTGCTGTTGGGCGGGCTCGAGGTCAACAAAAACTCGAGCCCGCCCCAGCAGCAGCACCCCTCGGCCCCTGTGGCGCCTGTGGCGCCTGTGGCGCCTGAGGCGCGTGTGGCGCAAGTGGCGACGGCGGCACCTGCAGCACCTGGGGTGCCACACGCGCCTGACGCGGAGCACACGCCGGCGCCTGTGGCTGGACCGTCGCGTCAGCGCCAGAGGCGCCGAACATCGACTTCTTCTGACGCGACGACCCCGGCGTTGACCAACGCGTTGACTCCGGACCAGGTCGCTGCGCTTCTGTCCCTGTTACAGCAACAACCCGCCAGCGTTACAGCTACGGAAATTGCACAACCCGCGGCGTCTGCATCTGCTAACAAGGAAAACGCAAAAAAAGAAAAAGGAGCGCGAGGAACAACGGCGAACCGGCACAACAAGGAAGCACCAGCCAGCATCCCACCTGCGCCAGCGGCCGACAACGACACCGACGGCTCCGACGACGATGATGGTGAGGCTCCGGTCCATACCGCAAATTTTCATTCCATGGAGCATCTTCCCCCCCTCCCCTCTACTACTAACACCACTTGGTCGGCGGCGACGTTCAACGACGAGCACGTGCGGGCGAAAGCGGAGATTCTGGAGGACATGCGGGCCTACCTGAAACACGCAGAGCACAAGCTGCAGCACGGCGACTCGGCGGGCGGACTCGAAATGGTCGTCGCCGCCCTCGACGACATTTCCGCGCGCTTCGACATGTTTCAAGTCGAAGACGCATCCGACGACCGCGTTGCCAAGCGCTACAAGATGTACCTGGAGAAAAGCCTTCTCACCTCGCGGCCGTTCAAGCAAGCCGTCGCGGACGTGGCTGCCATGGACCGAGCGGCGGGCGCTCACGCTCGCTCCCACCGTGGTGGAAACCACGGCGCCAAGGCGTTCGCCCCAAAACGTGGCCCTCCAACCTCGGGCAACTTCCAAGGCTTTCGTGGTTCGTGTTTCCGCTGCGGACAGCCAGGCCACGTCGCCAATGCCTGCCCTCGGAATGGGCATGGGGGCCAAGGACCCGCACCGGTTGTGTAAGGTTCGGGCTATGGTGAAGCGCGCCTCTAGGCGCGATGCACGGTGCACTTTTGAGTGCTTAGACCGTGGGCAGCCTAGTAGGGCTTGCGGTGGCCATGGCCAGCCCTAGGATAGGGTGGTAGAAGTTGGCCATAGGCCTAGCTTTGGGGAAGAGGAAGAATGCCTCTCGGTCCCCTAGGATAGGGTAATAAAGTATGGCCGTAGGTCTAGCTTTGGGGAAGAGGAAGAATGCCTCTCGGTCCCCCGTATGCCCCAATTGATGGGATGAGAAACATGCTAGTAGGCATGACAATGTATGACCATGAGAGATAGGGATTTTATTAAAGGCCCCTCTTGTTTGT